AAAAAAAAAGTATATATAATGTAAACTATTCACATTAAACCAATATTTGAATTTTGGTTATAATTTGCATAAAGGTAATAGGCACAAGGTGTTTCGTCGCGAATTTACGCTTGCAAGCCATTGTACATATCAGACAGCTCACTGCATAGGACTGCTCCCGACTGTCTCAAATACATATGTATATATACCTAGTGGTTTTAGTTCAGCCTACTTATAAGTCCGCCGATGCACCTTATATATATATATCTCAAATTGTTTTAGGTGAAACAAACAACCATTACGTGAACAAAACTAAATTGTTAGCGAAGATGACAATCTGACGAAGTTATCTCCTGTGTTCTACACCAGTGAGGAGGGCTTCAACGAAAATTGCCTAACTTGTTAAATTCAGGCACATACCATATACGAAAAAGAAATACGAATATATGTATCCTTCAAACGAATAGTAATAATTTTACACGCTTTTTTTATTATAAGCTTAATTTAGGGTTATATAAATATTACCTAAACTTCCTAGCGAACAAACATTTTTTATTCTTTAATTTCTTGAATTCTGTGCTTAAATTCAATACCATTTGCTTTTTTTTTATATGTGGTTTCGTTTCCTTTGCATTCCAAACTCTGCGAGGCATTATTCGTCGTTCAGAAGTCGTTATAATAACAGTTCTTGAATTATATTTTATTATTATTATCCACACTGATCTCATTTTATCCATATTTATCATTTCATTTCATATCTGCAAAAATAATATGTCACTGTATATTCATATGTGTCAGTTAACCTGTTATATTAACAGGCGTCTTAAAATATTTTAGTTTAGTTTTTAAGCTATTCTAAGCACTGAAAACTACAGTTCTTATAATACTGATTTTTATTTACATAAGAAGAAAATTATAAAATTCAAAAACAGTAATCAAAATACCAGAAGTCAATATTGAATATTAAATTGTCAACATATTAATCTACTCAATCATTTAGTTAGCTACTTCCAATGCAGGTTTATTAAAAAAAATGTGTTGTAGCTGACTCCGTTTTTCAATTAAGACTAGTACCCATGTTGTACAAATTCTTTATTTATGACCCACGATAGTTAAAAATTTCAAAGAACAGTCTCTTCCTAACAGAAATATTCCATACAAGTATATTATTGCAAAAGAAAAAAAACTCGAAATCTATTTCCTTACCTAATTTTCAATATATGCAAAACTTTGTATACCTTTCATAGTAATTTACACAACCTTGAGTTTATATTGTAGTAGTCGGCACATTTACTTTTGGTGTCGTTTACACAGAGAACTTAAATGAACGAGAAGGTGCAGGTTCGACAGCGAACAATTTGTAGGAATTTATCAAGGAGTTCACCACACATGCACGAGAAACAAATAACATTTCTCGCGTTTGTAACACCGGTGAATCTGTAATCATACGCTCTCTTAACATAACCAACCGACGAATATTGAAGAGAATATAATATGTAAGCAAAACTGGAAATATTGATATGCCATTTGAACGATATTCCGTTTCATTGAACTATTATTTTTTTAAATTATTTTATGCTAATTCATTTTCAATTTATTGTGAGTTATTAGTAATAATTTAAATATATTTTGATATATTTATTAAAATAATTCATGTACCTGACACCATTATGGAGTCATAAAAGTACAGAATTGTGTTTTGCCGTCGGTATTTTCATATCATGTGCAGAGAACGTATATCATAGAGAAGGTTCAATTGCGGACCAGCGTGTGAATTGTCAAAACCTAACAAGATTTTATTAGTGAATTTCACCAAATCTGGCTCGGAAGGAGACATTTTAACAGTGGAGAGTGAACAGAGCTGAGAATTCAATGAAAATTATGCTCAGAGACTTGCTTTGATATTACAGCTGCATGTTAGTCTTTTGGCTTATATTTTTATACGTTTATATGCAATCATATTTATTGATATGAATATTATTTTGCGAATTTTTATGAATGCATGCAAAACTGATAAGATCTATTAAATTATGGAATTTCGAAATAATATTTATAGTCAATTTGGGCATTTAATAATATTATATAGTTTTTACATAATATGCATTCTTAT